TATCTTCGGTCATTCCGGACTATCTTATCGCCACCTTCCGGTCCCGAAACGCGATCAAAGTTTTCTAAATACCACTCCCCGCCTCTCTGCGCGCTTAGTCAGACACGCACACACAGACAAACTCATCCCCACACACGGACACACACTCGCGTAATGCAGTCATTACACGCCGCACTACCGCATCCAAGTCAAGTCAATATTTTTTACGATCACTATTTACCTCTTTAGTTATTTTTTTGTCACGGCGGCATTAGCAGCAAGCCTTCCGCGTTATTCGCGCTCTGGCCGGCCGGCAGCATCGCGGGCTGGCCTCCACGGTCCACGATGCAGTGCGCTGCAGTGTGGTGCCGTCGGAGGTGACGCGAGCGGCGCCACTGCTGATTCGTGACGTGATTCGGCTGGAAAGTTGCGGCACCCTCTGCCACCTGATTCCGGAGGACCTGTCTCTCTCGCGCACGTACGGGGCGCCCCGCAAGTGCGACGGAGACGGATCGCGCCTCTCTCCCGGGACGAACACCGCGTTTCTCTCCGCCGTCGTGTGCGGTTTTCGGGGCCCTCTTCCTTCTTCGCCACGGAGGCAGCGAATTAAAAAAAAATAAAACTGAGGGAGAGAGAGAGAGTGAGGGAGAGACTGATGATGGAAACGCGCGTCTTCCCCGCATGACCTCCGTCCTCTGGCAGTCCTCTGGCTCGTCACTTCGTCACCCTGCCCGGCCCTGCCCGGCCCTGCCCGCATTCGTTCCGCGGTGACATCACGTGACCCTGGCTGTGGCCGGCTGGAGGGCCTGGCCGCTGGAGCGTGACGGGCCCTTCCAGGCTTCCAGGCCCTTCCGCCCGCCGATGACGCCTCCGAATGGTAATCGCCACCATTTGGGTGATTGCCGCCGTTTGCAGCAGCAGTTTGGGGGTTTGTTTTTGGCCTGGGCGAGCCGCTATGCGGCCGGGCGGGCGGTTGTCCGGCTGCGTCGCGGCTGGGGCAATACTCCCAGGACTGCGCCACTCCCTGGCTACTCCCTGGCTACTTCGCTCACTCCTCAGGAAAGCAGTGTGCCCCGTCGTCAGTCCTGGTGCGCGAAGGACATGTCCTCCTGGTGGGGCGCGTCAAGATGGCGACATGCCCGAATGGGGGTTCCATACTACTGTCGACGCCTTTGGCCGCTCTCTGGCTGGCTACTCCGCGACCACACCCCGGGCACGCCGTTACGCCCCAGCTACTCCAGAGTGGACGCACAGTGGACACACAGTGGGCAGCAAGTCGTCAGGTGGTCCGTGCTGCACCTGCCCAGACCGCGGCACCGACCTCGCAGCAGTCACGGCGAGAAACCGTCGTCGCGACAGAAATAAACTTATTAGCGGAATGTAACGGGCAAGAGCCGGTGCCAGGTGAATACGCAAATGCCTCGGTGGTGCTATGCGCAGAGCCGCGCGCAGAGAGGGGGGGGGGGTGAGCTGAACTAGAACTTGCCCGGCTGGACCGCAGAGCAAAGCAATCCACAATGCGGGAAGCCTTGCAAGTAGGCAAAAAGTGTGGAAAAAAGAGAAACGCGCACACAACCTCCCGACTTGTTTATTTTCGTTCGAATTCACTGCGCCGCTGCTGGTATGCCGCGTTGAGTCCGTGCCAAACAGCGCCGGGTCAGCTTCACGCCATTCCAACGACCGACACGGAATGAACCCGAGCCGAGCCGGCTGCTCCAAATCCAACCATGACAGTCGGCCAAACCACGACCGCGCGAATAGGTGCATGCGTGTACGCGTGCGTGTGTGTCGGTGAGTCAGTGTGGGAAACGGCGCGTACCGCACTGCTGCTGCTCGGTTTCATCTCTCTGCTCTCATGACCTCCTGCCTCCAGCGCGCAGCTTGGGGCTCCAGCGGGGACGTGTTCCAGTGGTTCGAGTCCAGCGAGCGCCGTGTCTCTGGCGGTCTCATAACTGCCTGCATGGCCCGGCAGTCCAGCGGCCCGAAGGGAGAGACTCGCCTTTCGAAACCGCCCGGAGGATGGACACACCAAAGTGGATCCGACGTCTGATTCGGCGCGCGTCCATGTCGGGATGCTCCCTGGAGCATGCCCCCCAGTGCCCCCCGGTGCTCCCTGGTACCGGGGCACGGCTGCGCGCTGCCCCGGTGCTGCGCCTCTGCGGTGGCCGGTCGGGGCAGCACCGCGGAAAACCGCACGCGATATTCGGCCGGCGTACTGTACAACCGCGGAGCCGCGCAGCCGCGGAGCAGTGGCAGTGTAGCGGCCGACGCGTGGCGACTCCGGGAATTGAGAGGAGCCGCAAGACTTTCACCGGCATGAATAAAGTAAGGCACAAGTGCAAACGAGACGGCGCGCAAAGACGCGGGTTCGAATCCGCCCGAGCCACTTCTTTTTTTCTTCCTTCCGCGTGGGTGTGGTGGTGGATGCGGGCGGCAGATCGGGGTCAGGGCGTCTCCGCCTCGGTCTCCGCTGTGCGACCCGCTGGGGATGGATGGCACTATTCGTCATCTGCTGGGCCCGCTTCGCCCGCTTCGCCCTGCTTCCCTTCCTTTCCCTGTTTCAGTGTTGTGGCGGCCCGGGGCTCTGGCGTGGCGCGGCGCGGCGTGGCGTGCGGGGCCGGGCTGGTCGCACCGCAAGTAGGCCAGGACCTTAGTGCAGTGCGGGCTGGGCCGGCTCTGGGACGGCCTGGTCGGCCAGCACCAGGACTCGGCGAGGATGGTGATTCGGGTGACGCCCGCCCAGATGGCGCTTTCCGTGGTGTCCTCCGTGTCGGGCAAAAGGGACAGCGCCCTCCTTCCGCGCGGCAGGCCGCCAGGGCTTATCCGAAGGTCATGCTGCTGGCAGTAAAACCACCGGCGACAAAGAAACTTGCTTGGCCCGAAAAAAAAAGAGCAGGTGAGCTATCTCAACGGTGAATCGCATCACCGGTTACAAGCTATATGCGACACAGGTGGTGTCAGAGCAACCTCAAAAATGGAAGATCGGTTCATCTCGCATGTCGCGTTGCGCGTTCGGCCGCTTTGCAAGCGACTCGCTTCTCTCCGTGCAAATCGTCTCGGCCGGAAGGGGAAGCGTGGCCCCCGCGGCCCCCGTGGCCCCCGCGGCCCCCGAACAGTGGAGGCGCCTCCGCCGGAACGCGGCAACAACGCGGATGGGACCTTTCGGACGCGCGGGCTGGTCGGGCTGGCGCCGTCGTGTCCTCTCCGCGGGCCCTTCGGAAGCCTTCGGGGGCTTTCGGAAGCCTTCGGGAGCCCTTCGTGTCCTCCCGGAGGGGCTCATCCGAAGCACGGAATGCGGCACGACGCGACCCTTCCTCGCATGAGCCGCCGATAAGGTGAAGTTCAGTGGAATCGCACGACGGGGCACGCCGACGACGGGGCACGCCGCGCACCCAGGCGACCCCGCGCCGGAGCCTCCCCGCCGCCTCCCCGTTCCTCGGCGTCCTCGCCAAATGTCATCGCTACGGTGCCGGGCCTGCCGGCCTGCTTGCATGCGCGCCATATAGCACGGCCAGCGACCCTCCCGCAACGGGCTCCCCAAACGGCCCCCAAATGGGCACCCAAAGGGCCCCCCTAAGGGCCCCCCTGAGGGCCCCCCTGAGGGCCCCCCTGAGGGCCCCCAAAATGCCCCCCTAAGGGCCCCATCCCAAACCGCATCCGCCATCTCGCGTGCGAAGGGCTTTTATACTGCCCGTTAGCGGCATTTCCTACACACACACACACACACACACACTCAGCGCGAAGAAATAACGTGTCCCAGAGAGGGGTGCCGCGCAGGGCTCCGCGTGCCGTCCTTCCAGCGCGGACCCGTACACAATAAGAGCCCTAGCGGCAGTGTGCTCATCAACCCGCTAGAAGAATGCTGCGCCGAGCGCGAGGCTGAGCCGTTGGCGCGGACGGGCCAAGCGGCGCGACTAGCGCGACTAGCGCGACCAGCGAGGACAACATGCACCGACTGCACCGGTAAAGCGACCGCCGCGCGCCGCGCCCCAGTTTCAAATATATTTCAAATCTGGCGAGCGCAGGCACAGTATCGCGCCGCCGCGCCGCTCCCAGGAGCCCTTCCGAACTGCTTCCCCTTTCACTGCGCGATCCCTTGGCCCTTTCCCTTTCTCCGATCCAGTGCAATGAGCCGTCCACTTACTGTGGTGTGTGTGTGTGTGTGTGTGTGTGTGTGAATGCGCTATAACCGTCCACGGGCAGTTCACCCCGAAAAAAAGGAAGGCGCTGAAACACAGGTATTACCTGCCAACAAGTGCAACCGCCACGCCGCCACGCCCCGCCCGGCAAATAGCAGGGTATGACCACTTCCCGACGGCCGGCGCGAGCGCGCGGTTCAATACGCGAGCGTCTGTGTATGTGTGTGTGTGTGAGTACGAGTGTGAGTGAGTGAGTCGGTGCGAGAACGTGATGCATGCGCGGAGAAAAGAGAAACAGAGAGCGTGTATTTGCGCGTGGGCGTAGCAGGGCTGCTCCACACGCACGGCGCCGCGCCGCGCTCACGTAGCCAAAAGTGGAGTGCAAGGCGCAGTAATCCAAATCAGAGGCTCCACTGCAGCGGCCCAGCTTCCACGGTTAATTCGCCCAACGAGTGCGGGAGTCCGCGAGGGCAATCCGGACACCATGAGAAAACCCTTAATTGATTCGAAGTTTAGTTTGGACTTCCTTGATCATTTTTTTAAATTGTGCCGATTTAATATTGTGAAAATGGGGGTGTCAAAGTTAAACAACCAATGCGGGGTTCCACGGGAAATACAGAAAGCCACGCAGGCAGAAGGTGCAAAAAACCATAAACAAAAAATACGCATTTCACTACACGCTGCTGCGAGGCGGCGGAGTCTGTTCGCCAAAAGAAGCCCGGCGGAGGCATAAACTTCGCGCCACCTTTTGTGTGGGAAACGCAATTAAAAAGGCCGAGGCATCGGCTGCTGGTGCGCAGTGGCTGCGCGCTGGCTGCGCTTCCAATAAGAGCGACAGAGAAGCAGCGATTTCGCAATTTCTGATTAGACTCGCTCGCTCACCTTTTTTTGCCTGCGCAGTGCCGCCGCGTCCTTGTAATCCCCACGCCGGCCTGCAACAAGAGCAACAATTCGTAAAACAAAAGTCTCGATCAGATAATCATCACCACATACCCTGCTTCCCTGTCTGTGTGGGAGTGTGTGTGTGTGTATTGGTACGTGTGTATGTCCTCCAGCTAGCACCGTCTGGAGATGCCTGATAGAAGTATTCCTCTGCGGACCATATTTTTAACCACTCGTTACATTCGATTTTTACCTGTAGCCACTCCAGAGAAACTACGCGTGAATGGTGCCGGCAAACAAACAATCGTCAGCGCAATCGCCCGTAGCGGAGAACATGAGAAACGCTGCGGAGACAATATTGTGCGAACGAAAAAGGCAATTCCAGTGGCGCACCAGCCGGGCACGCCACTGGCGGCCATTCCCCGCAGAGATTCGGCCGGCTGGCCGGTCGGCCGGGGCCAGCCGAGTGATTCCGGAGAATCGTTCGGGCGCCCCGACTCCGCGAGTGTGACGGAGACGGAGCCTCGAAACGAGTCTTCGGAGTCCGCAGTCTGGAGGCGGCCAGGAGGCGGCCAGGAGGCAGCCAGGAGGCGGCGCGACGCGCACATATCAAAAACCTGCTGAACCCGATAGTGAAAGTGAAGCGAGCGACCGCCACCGCCGCGGGCCCGGGCCTGGGCCACCGGCCCACCGGCCCGCCAGCGCGTCTGGCACGGCCAGCGAGTGCCGCGCGTTCTCATAGACAGACAGACAGACAGACAAGCGGGCAAACAGTGTCCTCAAGTCCGGCCGGAGAGGAATGTCCCTGCGACCGCGGAGCGTGCATTCGGGGAAAGGAAACCACGAGGAAAACGCGCTGCAGCCTCGCAGCTTAGCTGGATTTAGTTCGACTATGTGCCGCGGAAGAAGGCAGCGGTAGCAGTGTGTGTGTGTGTGTGTGTGCGTGTGTGAGTGTCCACTGACGAGAATGCAGCGGACCCAATTTCGAACAGAGGAGCATTGCCGTATAACCACCGCGCTGCCCCACGACGGCGACGACGCGCTTTCTGACCACATTCCTAACCGTCTCGGACAGTCCGGAGCGCAGGCGTGAGTTTGGAACAGAAAGAAAGATCGATGACAACACGCGCTGAGCACGAAAAAAAAATTTCGGATAGAGCAGCGATGCGGGCAGAGCGCCCCGGGCCCGAAACGGCATACGATCATGTGTGGTCTAGCCCGTAATGGTAATGGTAATGGACGGCAGGCATCACCCCGAAGCTCGTGTGCGTGGCGGGTCGGCCTACCCCGAGAACGACAGGCGCTTGGCAGGAGCGCAACCTCCCACTGGGTGGGCAGCGCGGTGCTTGACAGAAGCTTGGCAGGCGAGCCAGGCCCTCTGGGAGGAATGAATGCCTCTCTGCAAAGCCTCGGCCACGCCGTGCTGGCGGTAGAAAGGGCCCAAAGGGCCGAAAGGCGGTGATGACGCGGCGGGCGGATGCGGTGACGACACCCACCATTGGTGCGGGTCAAGCGGTAGTATCTGGAAGCGCATTGTGGGCCGTGACTCAACCGGCCGTCTGCCGCTTGGTGCCACTGCACCGCGCCGTCGTCGCGTCACTCGCCACGTCGTGCGTGAAGGCGCGTCAGTTGCAGCAGCGTCGCAGTTGCACGCAGAGGACCGCACAGTTACGAGGGTCTCTCAATACATGGGCACGCCTGACGCAAGACGGACACGCGTGTGACACGCCGTGTGCGACACGGTGACACGCGCCGCCACGTCGCGCGCGTGTGTGACAAAGTCGTCCGCGACGAGGCGCACGCGCGGGACGCGCGGACACACACGGAAGCAAGTGGTTTGCGTCCGGAACGAGGGCGACTCGAACCCAGGGCACGCCGTCCACGACACCGTCCTCACACTCAAAATGAAAATAATTTAAAGCATCGGACATTTAGTGTATTTGTTTTGTAAAATTGCAGGAGTAGAACCGCGTAATGTCCGTACCGAGGTCGGTGCCCCATCAATTGCAGCACCAAAAATTTGAAAAGAGCCGGAGAAATTGTCCACCTCCACCGACAACTCCGGGCTGCCACCGCTGGCGGTCGTGCTCTGGGTACGCTTCCCTGCCAGAAGTCGCTGTTTCCGAAGTGTTTTTTTGCGAATGAGAAAGTGCCGCTGCCATTTCCCCGGGATGGGATGAGGCACGTGGACCCCCCAGAACCGGCAACAGTTTATCGGTGTGCGCCAAAAGCGGCGCGCGGTCGGTCTTCGAGTTCCAGATGCGGGGCCTCGCTCACGTGCACGTTGCACTTCAGATCGCCAAGGCTCGGCGCGGCTCGGCGCCACGGCGTCCGGTTCACGGCCGCCGCCAAGGACGCCGCCGCCGAGGACGCTGCCAGGGACGTCCCTTCACTCGCTGCACCGCCAGCACCGCCTGCATGGCGACGCAACAAAACGCATTCCCGACGCGTTTTTCATTAGACCGCCGAGGCGCGCCGAGGCTTGGAAAACGCAGGCCAGACCGGCTGCATGCAGGAGCCGGTGCGAACTGCGGACGCACAGCTACACGGTCCGTGGCCACCGGGCCCCCGCCATGCTGGGGAGTCGGGTGTCGGCTGGTCCGCCGCCTGGACATTACGCTCCGGAGATTTTCCAGGAAGATGTGTTAAAAATGCTATAAGGCATTTACGTGGCCAGTGGCGGCCACATTCCCTCTCCCTCAGCATGCACCTGTTACATGACAGGTTAATGGCACCACCGACACCTCAGCGCCTCGCGGTCTCGGAAGTGAAGGTGCGGCCTTGGCTCCAGCAGCCTGCACCCAAAACGCACCAACAACAAAAACAAAATCACGCTGCGTTCGGTGTTTAGTGCCCCCGGGGGGGCCACGCGGGACGCAGGGCGTTAAACTGACGTCCGAGTGAGAGGACTACCAATCAAGGCACACTGAAAGTAGAGCCGCTAAGGGAAGACTGACTGGCGGCCCCGGCGGTCCAGCGGCCCAGCGGTCCGGCAGTGTGGGCCCCCGCAGCGGCGTCCCGCTTCCTCCCCCCCCCCCTCCCCCCGGGATGACAGCACAAGGAGAACGGGCTCTGTACAGTGGAGCAGCGGCGCCGCACGTCGCCGTGTGAGCTCGTTATTGTCAAGGCAAGTGCATCGAGCTTTTCGGGTCGAGCTGTCGGGTCAGGACGCCGACGGCCGGCCGGTGGGTCGGAGACGGTAGCCGGGCGGCCCCTAAACCACACCGCTGCCCAAATAGGAGCACGTACACAGACCTGCAGAAACACCCATAGGCACGGCACTCATCGAGCTTATGCCCCTAGAGGTCGCGCCCCTGCTCTTTAGTGTGTCCGGCTGGCTAGACCGCACCGAACCGCAATGGGCTGCTGTCTGCTAATTATCGGTGGCGGGGCGTTAGCATTTCGAATTGCGACCCCCACTGCAAGAGCAGGCTTACTCTGAAGGATTTCCTAGTCAGTTACGGTCCTGTTGCCAGGCTCGTTTCCCCGAGCCGACCTCAGTGGCACTTAGTCATCGCCGTCCGAACTTCATTACGGGCCCCGCACGCATCGCTCTCATTCATCCAGTCGGCCCCCACTCTCGCTCTCCCTTCCCCCTCCCCCGACCACTCGCCATCGCGAGGTCACGTCGTGGGCCCCGCAGGGGTCAAGGAAAAGACACCTGTCTGGCCCGCTGCCGCGCTGGCAGGTGCAAAGGGGAATATAATGTACTAGTGTGGACTTTTCCCACAGAGCTCGCGGCTGCAGTTTTATGGTTGCACGGCAGAGGTGCAGCAGTCATCTTCTCTCTCCTGAGTCATCACCAGCAGCCAGGGTGGGAAAGAAAGAAGAATCACAAAAAAGGAAAGAACCTCGAAAAAAAGTTGCCCGAGAAAAATCGGGACGACGCCGTCACCGTGTGCATCTGACAATGAAAGACTTTCCACGGCGAAGAGCAAGGTGAGGTGTTACAGATTAATGGCGCCTCTCCGTATAAAGGCTTTAGTTAGTTCGTGTTCTCGGATTGGGAGAAGCGACGCTTCATAACCGGTCCGGGCGTGGCGGGGCGTGGCGGGGCCCAGCGCGGCGGCGATGTGAAAGGTGCGAGCGGGCCCCACCTTCTCCGTGTCGTGTGGTAGTGACTAGCGACTCGGGTATCATCGTCGTGGCCGGCCCGAAGGAGAAGAGGAAGGAGGAGGGGGCAAGGAACTCATCAATCAAGGGAGGACGCCACCGTAACAGGAATCAGCCTTAATGCGGCCTGTCGCGTGTTAGTTTTGGAAGCGTACCGACAGAGACGGGTGGTGGTGGCATCAACCAAACAAGAGTAACAGAACAAATGGCGCAAGCCGTTTGAATCCCGAGGTGAGTCGCCAAAAGGCAAAGGCGCGGCGCCGTGGCCGCGGAGGTCGTAGCGGCCAGCCAGTCCACCGCACTGTTTCGCTCCTTTCCCTTTCCAAACAGACACATGCACAATCGGCGCCGAAATTGAAAAGAGCCTGCGCGGTCTAAAAATCGGCCTTGCGCAATGTTATAGCAATAACCGTCGTTGCTGCTGGCACGGCCTTTGTTGTTGTTGCTGCTCGCGGCGTGGGCGGCCTCCCCTGTGAAATCACCGCCAGACAATATCTTTATCACAGCCGGCCGCTCAATACAAACCATTTGCATCAGACGGACCGGCCAGAGCCAGCCCTGTCCCACACCTTGAGAGGGACTGACTTTTCGATGCATTCCAGCCTGGGCGTTCCGCGCCGTGCCGTACCGCATCACGGTCGTACACGCATTGTGTGCAAAATGGCCCCCAGGCGGATCAATACCCGACAACGCCCCGCACACTACTTGCCTGCCCGGATATTCTTTTCCTGTATACCACGCCGTAAGAAGACTCCGGGTCTTCGTTGGTTGTGCTTGTTTGAATCCTCTGTTTTGGTGCATCAAAGTCAATCTCAGGTCAAATGGACGCATCCTTGTCGTTTTCAAAAAACAACAAAAAAAGGTTGGTTGCGGATACGCATCCTGCTAACACGGTGCCCAATCCCTTTACGTAAGACGCTCGTTGCGCAGGGCTCGG